TTATTTTTTGTTATCAATAGAATTTTAAAAAACAAATCACCTACCAATAAACCTAATCTTGCATGTGTATGACTTTTTAAATATGTTAAAGCATTAAGAAATAATTGTCGTCCATCGGGTCGATCAAGATTACAAGCAATCCATAATGTAATAGGATAAAGTGGTTGACCTAATTCATCTTTTTTTCCTAAATAAATCATACTAGCCATAATAACACTAGCTTGTTCTCGTATAGATAATGTTTGAAATTTTTTTGAATCTAATATATCATTTGTTTGACCATTTATTATTGATAAATCAATATAAATTGTTGGCATTGATGGTGTTTGTCCAAATATACGTTGATTTAAACGTTTAACAACATTTGGTTTTGTATTTAATATTTCAATAATATCATCTGTATCTTTTAATTGTCCATGATAAACTTGTTGTTGTATATCAAATTGCATTTTTAACATACGTGTTGTTATAACATCATCAAATGATGTTGGTAATAATTCATCTGATGTTAATGGATTACCATTAAATAAAACATGTGGTAAATTACGTGATAAACCACTTTGTTCAAAATATAAATTTGTTTCATGACGTTCATTTTCAAATGGATTTGTTTCATCAAATATTGATGATAAACTACCAGAATATTTTGCTATTTTTGAAAATGTTTGTTTAACATCAGTATTTTGACTTTTATATAATTCATTAATAAATGTTAATGCACGTTTTGGATTTCCATTATATTTTAATAAATAACGAAATGCACGATAAATATTAATACCATATTCATTTGTTGTTACAAATACTAAACCAATACGTATTGGTAATTCATGAACAAAATAAGCTTCAATATTTTTCATTAAATCTTGTAATGTATCAATTTCTGATGGATCAATAATAATAACAAGATTATAAAGATTTTTACGTATTGTACGAAGACCACCAAAAAAATTATTACGTAATAAATCATAATAACTTGATGGCCATTTTGAATATTGATTATCTTTTTCAAGATCATTTAACCAAAGTATTGATGGATGACGAAAATCAAGTACATAACTCATTGTTTGAATATTTAATTCATTTGTTAATAATTGTCTTACATGAGATTTATTTAAACCAATCATATGTAAACGTTCCATCATTTGTCCTTCATTTAATAATATATTTAATAATACATATAAATCAATTGTATCTAATGATTGTTGTATAGAATTAATAAAGAATGCTGAATTACCCGGTTCAATTTCCATATTTGAACGAAATTGTTCTTGATTAGATTTATGAGATTCACGAAATGATGAATCAACTTTAACTTTTGATAAAACACTAAAATAGATAATTAGACAAAGCTTGTCAGAACAACCCTTTTAGTTAGATTAACATATGGAAACTCATAATGTGCCCTTTAACTTTATCAAACTAATACAACATACATCAAATGAAAATTTCGAATCGACTATAGTTGTTCTCTAAGAATGACCGATCAGTAGAGAAGTGATCTGTCCTACTTTATTTCTACATTTAAAATAGATTTCTTTTTACTGACGCTTTTTCATTTGATTTTAATTATTTTTAAATCATAAAAAGTCAGTTAAAAGCAGATTGTTTTTTTTCTATAAGAAGAATATGCCCGAACAGTGATCCTAAGTGTCAAAAGTTTTCGAAAATTGAGATGCTTTTTTAGTGCCACAGCGGCGACGATTGACCCGCTTGGCTTACGCCTACTCGTTAGGTTTATTTTGTGTAGACCATTTTTCTTTATTTAAGAGTATTATTATTCTAACCATTTAATGAAAAACTAAGTCTTTTACACATATCTCTTATATTCACAGTAGGCAACAACGTATTACGATACATCTCGATAAACTGAGAATCATTGATATTGATTATTTCACCAAGTGATGACTCGATCAGTGTGCAAAAATAAGAAGCTGCGATATTGAGAAAATTCATACACGTACTACAGCTAAAGATATGTAAGGTAAGCTTTTTATTTCGTACTCTGTACTCTGACTGAGGAAAATTTTCTAAACCTGCCTTGAAAAGCCTCTACTTTAACTCTTTATAGTAGGATATGGTAGCCGTGCAAATTTCTAGTCTTAGCCATTTAAATTCCAAGGAAAGCTTTGACATATTCTAGAACAGCGTAAGCCTTATTGTCAATGCCGTTCAACACCTTTATCTGTTGCTAAGAAACAATAGGAGAAGGAGAAAAAAGACGGAAGAATATTCCTGCCTTGTGGTATGGCGTGCTGCCTAATGGCATATTCAGTAGCCCAATATCTTTCTTACAACTATGGCTAGCTGTAGCTCTGAACAGAAGGTCAGTCTGACCCAGAGTTCTTGCGCTTCCCATACACACTAACCAATCAAACGAACAAGTGTATGTCACAATTGACTTGTCCAAGGTCATTTCATGGTTGATGATACCGAGGTTTGAGCACAATATCTTGTGGATACGTGTCGAGCAACGTAGTCACTCAGCTATGGCGGTCTTGAAAAAAAAGTCTGGTGTTTAGAGCCCAATCGGGTCCGAGTCCAGAAATTCTTGGACCTGATAGGTTCTATTGTTGTCTATTGTCCTTGATTGCTTGACGAAATGTACTCATTGATCTCTGAACATTCTCCTGTTGCTAAGACTCAGAATACGGAAGGGAAGATAAGTTGAAAAATTTCAACTTAAAACTTATATTCAATATTATCTTTCAAAAAAATTCTATTATTCTTTGTTTTTCTTTACCGAGCACGAGAAGGAAAATTTTGTGAAAGTTCAACTAATGTATTAAATGCTTCTTCAGGTGTTTTTTCACTTAATGCACGATATGCACATTGTAAACTAAGATCTTGCATTTGCCATGCTTTAAGTGGTGTCATTGGATTTGAACCATCAAGAAGATATGTACGAAAATCATTTAATTCAGTTTGTTTGTCTGGATGAAGTTCTTCAAAGAAAGCAAAAAAGAAAGAAATAGAATATTAAAAATCAATGATGATGATTTCAAACCGTTAAGTTTTGAAAAAATAAAACCATGAAGTTGTTCTTCTTGTTTTTCATTATTGAATTGTGATGTTGTTTCATTTAATTGATCATCACGAATCTAAAATTATAAACAAAATAAACTTATTGAAAAACAAAAAAAAGATTTTTTTTTTGTTTTTAATGTTCGATATATTCTTTTCTTTTATTGTTCTCAATTTCGAAGAAATATACTTACTTTTGAATCATCTGTTGCTTTATATTCAGTACTTTTTATTTGTAATTCAACACCATAACCAGCCAAACGAACTTTTCGTTGATCATCAATTGATATCTAGAAACAATAATAATGAAATTTATTGTATTATTATCTTTTTTTTTTAACTCACTCCACGATTATGTCTCAAGACATAATCAATTTTTCCATTATGTGATAATTCAACAAGTTTACTATGAAAAGGTTGAAACTCATATTGATTACCGAAATCACCATAGAGAACAACAGTAACCAATGATTTCTGTTCAATATTATTATTATGATTTGGATAATGATGATCGAATGGTAGTAAAAATTTTGATCTAAACAATAAAGAGAACAAAAAAAAAACAATATTACTTTATAATTCAAAAACATTCATTTTCTTATCTTCAATACATTTTAAAACAGAAATAATTCGAGTTTTACGAGAAAACTTTGCTAAGTGATAAATCTTACTTAGATATAGGCAACTACTAGAAAATAACAGTACATTTTTCGCTAATATATGTTTTACTAAGCGCAAAACCGAAACCAAAAACGATTGGTTTCGTTCATCAAGTTCAGATTCAACTCCGAAAAATTTTAATCAATCGCGTCCGGATCCGACGGACTCTAAACAGTACTCATATTCGGAAAAGATTCTAATTTATTAAATGATCAAAAGTAGAATTTTTGTTTTTTTTTTCAACGCACCGTTCATTAGCTGATTGAATAAGATTATCAATATCATCAACGTTACAAGTATATACACCATGTATATCAACAAATGTTGAACATTCACGTGTCATACCAGTATCATGAGCCATTTTACGCATCATTTGAACAGTTGGTGAATAAAATCGAAGTGCAAGTGCCATATGTAATAAACTATTTGTTATTATATTCAAATATTGACTACAAAATGATAATAATTCAGCATGATAATTTTCAGCTGTAGCAACTAAATACAAAAAAAACTAAGATAAAATATAATAAAAATTTTATTTTCATACGTGCATCTGGTGTAAATACTGGAAATGAACTAACATCATTAATTAACGACCAAAAATCTTGAGGATTTTGTGTTGCAAGAAATTCACTGTTTAAAAAAATAAATTTCATTAAATTAAAATTCTTTTCTCTCTCTCTCTATATATATATATACCTTGCTTCTTGATGAAGTGGTGTATCTAACCATTTAGCATCAAGTGTAATTGAAACAAATTTATTTTTAATTCCATAACAACCAATTATAGATAAAATAAAGATTAATAAAACTTTTTGATAATTCATTCTTGTCTATTCATTATCTAGAATATTAGCAGAAAAAAAACAAAACTACCATCATTATTGACAAAACATTTCTTTTTTCTATTTATAATGTTATGTGCTTCGTTTTTGTTGTTTTTTTTTTTTGCTGACCACAAAGAAAAAATGTACAAGCATGCGCAACAACAAACTGAATAGCTAATTGTGGCAACACATGTGCCATTAATAATAATAATAGTACAATACGTATTGACAAAAAAGAGAGAGAGAGAGAGAGAGAGAGAGAAGAAAACTACTTTTTGCTTGCTAAATGCGTTTGTGTAATCACATTTAGTATTGACAACAACAAAAAGAAAAGAAAGAGAAAAAAAACCGAAAATGTACATTAATGAGAAAAAAAGAAAAGATCATTTCAAAAATCGATTTTATTTTATTTTATTTGTTTTTTTTTTTTGGATGATGGAACTTCTTTTAATAAACTATTTGTTTTAAAATATTCGCTTACATCAATTGCTATTAAGATGGACTATTATGGCCATTGACTTGGTTTGACTCACTCGGCTGTTGATTTTCACCTAGATTATTATTATTAAGCCCATTTAATGGATAACCATTATTTATTGCTGGTCGAACTGGTGGACGAATCATTGCAAAACGTGCTGTTGGATCAACAATTGCATGTTGATATGAATGTGTTGGAGCCATAAACGGTGGTCGAAAACCAGTAGGTTTCTAATTATAATTAAAATATGAGTAAGATATGTTTTAAGAGGAGCTTATCTTTCAAATACTTTTGAAGAAACGGCTTATTAGAAAATTGTAGATAGATCTCGATGAATACAGCATCCTATAGGAGATATTGGGCTTGATCGGATGTACTGTAGTTAAACTAGTAGAATCTATTGGATCGAACCGTACTTTGATATTCTTAATGAAATTTTCTAATCGGAATTCGATAGTCACGTTCCGAAGAAGGAGGTACTTTTTCCTAGTTTTTAGTGACTAGTGTATCCTATACATTTCTTACACAACTAGAGCTCAATGGGTCCGATACATAGAGAATACTACGAAGTGTATATAGAGCAGCAAAAACGAAACTGTTCTACTTAAGATCTTCCTTCTCAAAAAATGTCATTATTCGTCAGAGTCATTGCAATTGAGATAAATACATCGGAAGATAGTCCATGATCTGATCTCCCATAAGTGACAAAATTTTTTCTCCGTTTATAGTTTCTTAATCGTTGACAATCTAAATTTGTCTGTCAATACTCATTCTATATATTTAATTTATTTCTTTTTTTTTGTTTGACAGACCACGTCAAGACGCAGTGTAGTATGGAGAGTACTCTTTTTGATTAAGCTTTGTATTTAATATTTATATAATAAGAACGCTATTTTTAGAGAATTTTTTGAGTCCTTGAATTTTCAATGCTTTTTCTTCTTTTAGAAAGTAAGAATTTTAAAAAAGAAAAGACTTTGTACTGCAGTGTATTCAGATATGTTCTTTCAAACAAAAAAAAAATTAAATATATAGAATGAACTTCAACAGAGAAATTTGATTTGCCAAATGAGCTACTTTTGATCCTTTTTTGGTCAATATCCTTCTCAAAAGTCATAATATCGGACTGAAAATTTTACCATAGCTTTTTCACTGCAGCCCAAAATGTCATGTCATTTTAACGTTCCTAGGCTGAGATCGATTTTTGAGAGAAGGAGTCAAATTTTTAACAAGATCGGTGTTACAACACCGAAGATTTTTGTTATCTTCTCTAACAGTGATTTATAATCGTATTGTCTAATAACGGAAGATACTCTGTAAAGTATTTTCAAGCATTATGAAGCTCAATGTTAAACTGGCTAAAGAATATACTTAAGTAATCTGAAAGCAAAACTTAAACAAAAAGAATTCCTAAGTAGATGATATAAGATATAGATGCGATTCGTTTTTCTTTATCATACTCCTTCTCATCCTCTACATACATCAGAGGAAATGAAGGATGAGCACTCTTGCATTGCAGCGCAGATTCAGTAGCCCGATATTTTCTCTCTAGCTGGCAGAAGATCAGTCTGACACAGAGTTCTTGAACTTCGGCCACAAGAGTAGATGTATGTCATAGAATGCTATCAGACGAATGCCTGTTAAGGATCATTCCATCGCTGTGTTGGTACTGAGATTTGCCACTCAGTTATGGCAGCTAGATGCATCAGATGATTCCTATAGGAATTTATTGTGTAAGTAAAACGTATCTAATCCTATAGACAAAGTCTTATACGACGATTGATACATTGTAATCTTTCGAAACTATTTAACTTAAGCAAAACTTGACTTTTTCATAGAGTCGTGTTTTTATTATTAACTTACCGGGCCAGTTAAATTGTTTTGTAATTTAAGTAAACCATTAGCTTTGAAAATTTCTTGTTCATCTGGAAAATCATCATCATCATCTGATGGTTGTTGTTCTTCATATTCTTTAGGTGGAATTTTATTTTGTTGTTTTGAAACATCGTCTATCTCTTCTGGTATTTGATCTTGTGATGGTGATGCTATTAAAATTAAAGAATAAATTTTCATTATTAACAAAAACAAAAAACAACAATAACAAATATTTTTACCTGCAGGTTTCTCTTCTTTTGGTTCTTCATCTTCATCAACTAATTTTTTAATATGATCTGTTATACTTGATCGTGTTATTGATTTTCCATATTTAACTATTTTACGTTTACGTGCTAATTTTTCATAATCATCATCGTCATCAACAAATGAATCATCACTACCACGTCGTTTTTTATAACGCATACGTCGTGGTGGTGGACGACCATTTTCAAGTAAATCATCATCATCATCATCATCTTCATCATCATCATCGTCTTGTTGTTTAGCATAACTTTTTTGAGCTGCTGTTCGTGTTGATCGTCGTCGATCATCATTACCTATTTCATTTAAATCAGTATCATTCATTGTATCAGATTTTGTTGTATCCATTGTTTGTATATTGCTTAATTCAGTTTCCGAAACTAAATTTTAAAATAAAATAATACATAATGAAAAGAAATTTCTACATACGAGAATCATCATCATCATCATCATCATCAGATTTATTTTTTGATTTACGACTTTTACTACGATTAGATCTAATTATAAAATATAGAAACAAAAAAAATGTTTTTTTTTGATGAAACTTTTACTTTGATTTTGATTTTTTTCTTGAAGATGATCGACGTTTACCTTTCCAACCATCATCATCATCACTTGATTCATCATCATCATCGTCATCATTATAATTCTCTTCTTCACTTCCACTTTCACCCGAACTTTTAGAACAAACAAAAAAAAAATATATATATTTAGTTTTGACAACAAAACAACACACATACCGATTTGGTTCAGGTGCAAATTCATCATCATTTTTCGGATCAGATACATCAAAATCTTCATCTTTTTCATAACCAGCACGTTTTTTTGGTGATTTTTTCTTTTTTTCATTACTCGATTCATCTAAAGACAATAATATTTATTTGTATTAAGTCATCAATAGCAATACATAATAAACCTATGACGACCTTGGACTGTTTTCAAGTTTTTCGATCCGAGAAGGTCATTTCAAGAAAATAGCTGAATTTTATAAAAATAGACTAAAAGTTTTAAGGGTTTAGAAATCTGAATCTATTGAAGGTTTATCCAAATTCTCGAGTTCGATTTTCTCGTTTGAGAAGGACTTATAAGGGAAACGCTTCAACTGCATCCTTCCGATGCTAGTGTTCTAATAAAAAAAAAAACCCAAAAGAATTTGGATTTTTCTTCAAATTTGACTCAGCTATCGAATTTTAATCTGAAATGAGACAGCGTCATATCTCAAAGAGACATAGTACAAAAGTTAGAACTTTTTTTTTTTATAGAAGTTAGTCTAGTTGAGTTTTCTATATGCTCAAAGTTTTAGATCAAAATACGACTTTTCCGAATATCTGAGGCTTCGAGAAAAAAGAAAAAGTTCAATAGCTTAGTCAAAGGGCAAGATAGAGTTGTTAGTCAAATCGACCCTATAACAATTTTTCGAATCAAAAAATTGTTATAGTGTTGATTCAGCTAGCAAATCTACTCCAGTTCTTTTATTAGGAACTCAAATTCTATTCGAATTTCTACTACTAGAACACAATATACTATCTATACATAAAAATATCATTGAAATCAGAGGAAGGCAACTGAAAAAAGTACTCTCATTAATTCTTACGGTTTAGCCATGTTTTATAAAACTTAGCTATTTTCTTCAAATGGAACTCACCCGACTGGAAAAGTCAAAATGAATCTAAGATGCCAGTAGTTTTATTATGGGGTTCACTGTTATTCTATGCCTGCATGTCTAGTTATTAACTAAGACTCTATTTGTTTCATAAAATTTTATTCATTAAAATACCTGAATCTTTATCAATTTCATCTCCATTAACTCCAGCTTCAATCATAGCTTCTTTCATTTTTTTATCATATTCATCAAAACGATAGTTTTGTGGTTTTCTTCTACATGATCGTACACCAAGTTTTTCTGTTTGTTCATCTCGTCGATTTTTTGATTTTTCTTCACCATCTATACTACCATCATCTTTAAAACCATAAACACTATCATCATCATCATCATCATTGTCATTTTCTTCTTCTTGTTCCTGTTCTTCATCTTCATCTTCATTTTCTTCATCACTATAAACAATACCATTTGTTCGTCGTTTTTTTTGTTGATCGTTTAACCATTCGATCAAGATTTAACATAACATTAGCTAAACGATTACTACGTTTTGACATACATTGATTACGTTTTATTTCAAGTTCTTCATGTTCTTTTATAAGTTGTATTAATTTTTCAATTAAATTATCACATAAACGTTTATGTTCACATAATGGACAATACCAATCACCATCTGGTACAGATAATAATATTGGTTTAAGACATTCTAAATGATATGCATCATCACAATCATCACATAATAATAATGATTCAGGTCGATCAGTTTTTGAACAAACACAACATGAACTTGATGATGTTGGTAAATCTTCAATATTATTTTCATTCATTTGTCCATGACGTTTAGCAACTGTTTTAGCTGAACGACGTGGAATAAATTCATCATCTTCTTCTTCTAATAAATCTTCATCATTTAATTCATCTACTTGTTTTTGATCAGGTAAATAATCATCAGAATTATAATCATCATCATCTTCTGATGGTTGAGGTTCATCGTCACTTGATGAACATCCATTCATGGATGTTTTACCATTACCACGACCACGACGACGGCGACCACCACCTTTACGACGACCATTCGTTTTTGATGTTTGAGAAGATATTTTTATATTTGTCTGACTAGAAGTTTTACATTTACCATTTGTTAATTTCTTTTTTGTTGGTGTCTAAATTTAGTTAATATAATAAAGTAAATTATAATATTAAAAAAACTATTTGATAAAAGACAAAGATTTTTCTCATCAGTAGATTTCATCGAATGCGGATCCAGAGATTCTTGAATCCGATGGGCTCTACTCATCAGCCATCTGTTATTTGAATATACAAGGTGACTCATAAATAACTAGACGATAAAAACAAAATGCTTTAGCCCATCTGGTCGATGAGTACTCGTCAAAGTTTTTATTCATAAGGAAACTGTCATAACTAATCACAAGAGCAGGTGTCTATATTACAATGTAATCAGCATACTACCGGAGGAAGGATGTGAGACAAACAGTCAATAGTAATTTTTCTAGGGCTATCCCAAGGTTTGAGCACAGTGCCTTGTGCATAACAAAGCGTCCACTCAACCAAGGTGGGTCCAGGTCACTATGACCAGCTCAATCGCATTCATTGGAATTAAAGCGAAGTTATGATTTATGGCAACTCCGCTCACTGTCAGTCCTTTAATGAGATTAGTTACGCTATGATTTTCATCTAAATGTTCAATAGCTGTTCATATTTTACATAGTGTTACACTGATCAGATCGTAAATTTATTCCCTTCTTAAGTGATAGAATTCATATGGAAATAAGCTAGTCTTTTTGGTAGAAGTGTCGGGATTCCTCGTTCCTAAGGAACGAAATCCACTCAAAGATTCGTTTCCGTTTATATTGAGACTTACGGACGTGCTTATTCTTTCAATCTGTATAGGTTCCGGGTTCTCAAGAACGAAACCAGGATCTAACACTCCTACTCATTGGTCTGTATTTCTAAGATAGTACATATGCTAAAAATTTCAGATATTCACTTTTAATCCTGTGACGCCAGGCTTATTCTTCGAGCAAATATTGCCGATCATGAAAAATGATTTAAAGATGTAATGTTTTTATCAATAGCATCTATCTATCAGAACACAAAAAATATTGAAAAGGCCTATTTTACTATATTCCGGCTCCGCTGTCAAAGACTTAAGAGCAGCTAAGATCACAGAAAGATACATTTGGTTCGTTGTCTATTCCTATATTAAAATCCATAGTACTAGTATGAAGCCGTATCAATTAATAGCGTATAAAAATTTTCAAGAGATTAGTTCGACTGATTAAAGTATACTGTACTTTTATCATCTAATTATTTATGCGTTATCCTATATTCTAACTCAAAAGTCTCAATGCAGAAGAAGCTATCTCCCTCCTTAAACTGCATCTACAAAAAACTTTGGATTATTTTTAGAAAACTATATATCTATCGAATTTATCGTTCCTTCCTATTTTTAAAACCTATTGAAAAACTTGTTCTTACTTGTGAAACAGATTTTGCTGGACTAGATGTAGCAGAAGGAAGTTCACTAGTTGGTGCTTTTCGTATACGTCTTGATCGACGTAATGCAATAGGTAA